TAGACCAAAGAATGTGGAAAGACTAGACTGGGTTAGTCTTCTGGCCTCCATCTATCTCCCATACTAGATGCTTTCTGGCTTCCAAGTTCTTCAGTTTTGGGACTCACACTGGCTTCCTTGTTCCTCAGCTTGCAGACAGCCTAGTGTGAGACCTCACCTTGTGTTCATGTGAGTCAGTACTCCTTAATAAACTCTCTTTTATGTATAGATTTATTCTATTAGTTCTTCCCCTCTAGAGAACCTTGACCAATATGGAACCCAACCCACAGCAATTGCTGTATTTTACTTAAAGAGCTGAAAACACTGGTTGTGCATTGGAATCATCTTTTGAGTTGGAAAGCCTACAGTACCTGGTCCATCCAAGACCAATTAAATCAATGACTATATAGGATCACAGGTATCCTTCATGCCGAGAGATAAGATCACAATTTGAAATTAAGACATGCATGCTTACAATGGAGGAAACCGACTCCCAAAGAAATTCAGACGTGGATAAGAAACCAGACGTGAAAGATAGGCTGGACAACCCATTTACTGACTGAAGAATGGACATGTGATAATAATTTAAGGGATTCCATTGAAATGCACTGGGAACTCAGAAGAAATGAACTGGAGATAAGAACCGTAACCTAACTTCATGTACGAGTGGACCTCAAATAAGGTAGCAGTGGAGATAAAGCAGAAAAAGGGCTTAAAGAGAGCTCTTATTTCACATTTTTTAATGCTTGTTAATATAAACATGGGTAGAGAGGAGTATGAAGGAGAAAAGTCTGGGTTGATTATATGTTTCTTTCGGGAGAATTGAGCGGGCAATAGCGTCATTCTCTAAGATGGGTGCTTTTTCATCTTATTCAACAAAGGAAATTAAAGGATTAAGAAGTGGAAATGGATTCACTTCCATTTCCACTTGTGTATGTGGGATACAGCAAATTTGGAAGTTAGGAGAAATCTGGAATGGAGAGATTTAGTGTGTCATTTTGCCAAAAAAAAACCTGGTAGCTAAAGCTCCAGGAGTTGATAGGATCACTAAAGTTTTACATAAAGATTGTAGAGCAAAGAAGCTGTGGTTACAAAGCAAGGGCACACCAAGATTTCAGTGATGGACAGAGATAGATGACTGAAGCAGAATTGTAAATGGCTAGCATTTTGAGCACTGTATTCATCAGAGTAATAATATAGATTACATATATAATTAAGTAGTCATATATATGAGAGTAATTATATATATAATTAAGCAGTAACTCACATGATCACAAGGTACCACAACAAGTCTCCTGAGGAGCGAGGAGAGCCAGTCTGTGTCCCAAACTGAAGAACTCAGAGTCCAATGTTCGAGGGCAGGAAGCATCCAGCACAAGAGAAAGATGTAGGCTGGGAGGCGAGGCCAGTCTGGTCTTTCCACATTTTCCCGCCTGCTTTATATTCTATCTGTGCTGGCAGCTGATTAGCATCCACCCAGGTTAAGGGTGGGTCTGCCTTTCCCAGCTCACTGACTCAAATGTTAATCTCCTTTGACAGCACTCTCACAGACACATCCAGGATCTTCGCATCCTTCAATCCAATCAAGTTGACACTCAGTATTAACCATCAAAAGCACCAAGAACATTTTGTGATTTAAATACCTGTACTAGTGATAATTCAATGTTATAAAAAAAACAAGGGAAGAGAGGGGCTTTAATTTTAAAACAACTATACAACTAATTCAAATTTCATTGAGCATTGACTCTATTTTCTCACAATCATATTTCTGGATGATCAAAGAGAGGACTCCAAACGCGGTTGCCCCTTTGCACTCCGTGAGTAATTGGATCTCTCCTGTGATTAAAACTCTCCATGGCATATGTGTTTCTCTGAGTCTTAACATAAAGAACATAAGCTGATTTATGAAGCTTCCTTACCACTACAATCCAGAAACAACTGTTAGTAACACTGGAGTGAAAGCCAGATTCCAGGCTTTCTCAAAACCAGATTGCTCCCTAGTGTAGATAAAAATCACCCAGGAGCCCAGGAGGAGACACCATAATCAGCTGAGAATAACGGGTGTGGGGGGCATCGAGAGGAAGGTTACTTTTATTGCATCTTATTTAAAAATGGGGGCACAGGCAGGATCTTGCTGACAGTTTTCCTGGATTGGTTAGTTGTTATATAAGATACTCCTCTTTCTAAGAACAGTTATTGAAAATGTATTTTCATCAGCTAAAACACCTATTCTTTTTACTCATTTATTCAATAAATATTGCTTGCATTTCTGCAATGTACCTACACCTGAACTAGACTTAATAAACGTCTAGGATACATAGCTGTCATTCAAGGCCTGCTCTAATACTTGCATGTTTCAACTTTCATGTTAATTCACATAGCATATTTTATTTTGTTCCTTACAAATTATTCAGCACTAAAAATTAGAACATAATTGTTTCTTACTTTCAAATTACCAAATATTTATGATATTTTATTCATTCATTCTTTATTCTGAATTTATTCAGACAAGTAAATTTTATGAATTAATTTATTTAGTGGTTAAATCCTAAAATTCATCAAAAGATCAATTACAATTCATCTTCCTCATTGCTTTTCTTATTCCATTATATGTTGCTGGTTATATCATTTTTTCTTAAAATGATATTTAAAGTATTTATTTCTAAAAATATAAATAATAAATGATCTTTTTAAAGAATTTAGATCATCCAAATAATTATAAAACTAAGCACTGAAAATACTTCTTATAATCTTTAAACACAACGATTTTTATTACCTGCTGATGCATACTCCTTCTATGTTTTTTTCTACTTTTATTCATATAATATATGCTATTTTCCTTCCAAAATGATTATAACATATACATAAATTTACCTCCTTCCTTTTAAAAGTATCATGTGCAACATCCCATGTCATTAATTTTCTACCTAAGTTCAATGGCTGCATAATGTTTGTATTATTGCATGTGTTATCTGCTTTCTAGAGAATTGTGAGACTCCTCTCTCCTCCTCCTCTCCCACATAGGATTTTTCTTGTTTGGAAACCATATGTTCTGTTTACATTATGCCTATCCAGTCTATTTGATGGAGGATGGGGTATAGTTGGAGTCTAATCAGAGATGTTTCTTTGTTTTTTCCTGTTGGATCTTCCTGGAGAAAAGATATTTTAATAACTTTGGCTGTTAAGGACACCATGATAGAAGCTGTCTCTGGCTATAGATAAGTAGATATAATACTAGTGTGAATATCTTTAGGGTTTAGAATCTAATAAGAAATAAAAAATACAAATTGGTGTGAGAATTGTGAAAAAATAAATTTCTGTTGTTTTCAACCACCATGTTTGTATTAATTCTTACAATAGTCACAGAAGATCAATGCAGGAACTATAATCTTTTCCTTAGGATGTTAAAGTATAGATCTATCAGGTTTTAAAAAAAAACAAAACAAAACAAAACAAAAAAAACCAACTGCTTTTTTTCAGTTTCTTATCTGCTGTGATTAAAAGCTGTTGTTTGCCAGTCAACCAGGAATCTGCAGTCAATGTAGAAATGAAGTTTCCGTTCTCATGTATTTGGGTGCAAGTTGAGACTAGTGTGATTGACAAGACACCAGACCACTCATGGATTTCAGGTCACAGCCCATAACTCTAAAATAATCATAAACATTTAAAAATAAATATTTATTCACTATGGCACTGTGTGGTTGAGTGGGTGGAATTTGTGTATAATAAAAGGGTCTGCTCCCCCAGAATTGAGAATCTAACTAGGAAAGAGGAAAAAAGTAAGAAAAGCTATTTGTGTGCTACTGGATCATAAGCACCTCCAGGGCAGGGCTTTGATTGTCTTTTATCCTTAGTATGCAGAAAAGTGTCCAATAAGCAGATATTATTCACAAGGTCACCTTGTCAATTACATGGTAATATGGTTAGTATTTATGTCACCACCCAAATCTCATCATGAATTGTAATTCCCATAATCTCCCTATGTCAATGGAGAGACCAGGTGGAGGTAATTGAATCATGGAGGTGGCTCTCCATGTTGTTCTTGTGATAGTGAGTGAGTTTCCACAAGATCTGATGGTTTTGTAAGTGGCTCTTCTCTCTTCACTGAGCACCTCTTCCTGATACTTTGTAAAGAAGGTGCTCACTTTCCCTTTTCCTTCCGCCATGATTGTAAGCTTCCTGAGGCCTCCATGGCCATGCAGAACTGTGAATCGATTAAACCTCTTTCCTTTATAATTTACCCAGTCTTGGGCAGTTTCTTATAGCAGTGTGAAAATAGACTAATACACACCCTAAGTTACAAAATGTCTGTAATATAGAAAATACCCAATGAGGGAGGAAAGAGAGAGGTTCCAGAGACAGAGGGTCCCAGAGGCAGCAGGTCTCACTCAGAGTCCATGAGGAAGAATGAGACCTGCTGGGTGGAGTCTGTGGGGGCAGCAACTTACACTTCTTTTTTCTAAGCCACTGTCAGCTCTCGGCACTGAGAGGCTCATATGTTGAATGAGAGAGTCCCAGAAGAAATGGATACCTTGGAACCCGTAACACAAGAAATAAACAGTTGGGAAGATTTTCTGTATTCACTGCGAGACTGATCCTGCTGGGCTTGCAATGTACTGCTACTCCTGTTGTAGGATGAACTATACTCCCCAAAAGAAGATACATTCAAGTACTAACCCCAGTACCTGTGAATTGGCCTTATTTTGAAATAACATCTTTGCAGATATAATCAAGATAAGGTGAGTTCATAATGAAGTACGATGGGTCTTAAGTTCAATATGACTGGCGTTCTTATTAGAGAAGGAGAAGCGGCACAGGAAGAACATCTTGTGATGACAGAGGCAAAGACTGGAGAGGTGCATTTGCAAGTCCAGGACAGTGAGAAGCTGGAAACCGCCAGAAGCCAGGAGAGAAGTGTGCAATGATCCACCTCTACAGCTTTCAGAGAGCACACGACCCCACCCACACCCTGATCTCAGACTTCTTGCCTCCAGAACTGTGTGAATACATTTGCAGCCTTTTAAAATACAGGATGCCTCATGAACTTGCATGCCATCCTGTGCAGGGGCCATGGTAATCTTCTTTGTATCATTCCAACTTTAGTGTTCATGTTGTGGAAATGAGCACCATTTGCACTGTTTAAAGCAACTCAGATTGTTGACTCTGAAGAGGCAGCCACAGGAAACTAATCTAGGTCCCAACATCCCTGTAGACTGTGATGCACATTCTTGCTCTTCCCACATGAGCAAAGTGCTTCCCCTGCAGATCTCAAGGGGTGGTTATGTTCTCTCTGCAGTTCTCATGACTACTGAGTTTAGAGGGAGGTAGAATGCCTACTAACTGTTCCCTCGTTTTATTTTCTGGTCATTCTTTCCTACTCCTCTCTGAAAATCCCCAGCTCCGAATCTCATGTTGTCACATTGCTCTTTTCTTCCAGTTACTGGGTTATTGCCCTATATTTTAAGACAGTTTTAGCTCGTGGCCCGTTCTGTCAAGTTTTACATGGACTTAATTCCTCACAAATTTTAATATGTTTTTAGGTGAACCTTTTAACATCTTGGCCTTCAGATTTCCAGAACTCCTGTTTTTGAAAGAGCTTGTTCTTGGAGCCACTTGGTTATTTGTTCTTACAGACACAGACTCAATAAATCCTTCCTATTTACCCAGCTCTCTCTGTTGTATATCCCTAACAAAGCTTTACCCTCACTGGGATTTTCTGTATATTGATCTTACAACGTGTCACTACCCTTCACCCTCTTGATATTTGTGCTTCCCTCTTTACCCAGCCCGCATTCTGTGGTTAATCAATACAAAACTCTTGCAAACACTCCTGACTCCTTTGTTCCTCTCCTCAACTTACTTTCGTGGCAAAACTACAACTCTGGTTGAATCCAACCGTTTGCTGATCAGATTTCTGTATTTTTGTAGCTGAACGTGTTGGGGAAAAATAAGCAACTGCAGTGACCTGTTCTGAGGTGAGGTTCAGGATCACGGGCCCTCGTGCTGCTAAGCAGTAATGCATACCCACACCACTTAACACCATTTCACATTGCTGGGTCAGTCAACTTCCACTGTCCTAGACTATGATTTCTCACTGTCTCCTTTCTCCTCAAACCTTTAGCACCCCCTCTCTACTTCTTATTCTCAACCTGATGTCTTCCTTACCGAGAAAACTAAAGCAGTCAGAAGGGAATTTCTTCATGCTCCTATCACATCAGCTTACGAACATCTCTATTGACATATTCTGCCTTCCTGTGTGTTACCACAGATGAACGTCTATGCTCTTATCTAAAACCAGATTCTGCAACTGTACACCAAATCCCATCCACTATTGCTTATTCAAAATCATCACCGTAACAATTCTTCTGCTTTCTCCTGCATTATCAGTGTTTTTTTTTAATTAATAATGGTTTATCTTCAATGGCTTAAAAAATCATGTAATACTTCCTTCTGTCAAAACTTTTTTCTTAACCTCTTTCCTTGCGTTCTATTTGTTCTCATTATCAGCAGAAATCACCAGCATTACCTGTATTTGTGACATCCATCCCTCTTATTCTGCCTTAACTATGCTTAGATCAGTTTTTTTAATTGCAGAATAAATTTTCTCTTGAATTACCAAAGATCACCACATGGCTAAATCCAGTGATCCACTAGAAGCTGCTAGCTGTATCTGGCACCTGTAGTCAAACCTCTGTCTCATCTTCACTTTTTCCAACCTACTGCAAGAGCTGGACACAGAATTTTTCTTCTGACTCATTGACCACATTTGCTCAGTAACCTTTGCTGATTCTGTCTTTGCTTCCTGTTCTCCTACTGCTGGAGTACTCGGGACTCTGGGGCCCTCGGCTTTCTTCTCTGTGCGCACACATGTTTGATATTCTCATCTACTCTCATACCTTTAAGTTCTATCTTTATGCCTCTAACTTGCACTTATATCTGCAGTCCAGACTTCTTTTCTGAACTTGCCTCAATACATACAGCTCTGTACCTGGCATCTCACTTGTCTCATAAACATCTCAACCTTAAGATGGCATAAACTGAATCCATGCTTTCCCCCCCAGAACAAACTCATTTCACATTTCACTTGCAACCTTCCCTTTCTGTTGAAGGTAATGTAATCCTTCTAGTTGGATTTGATACATATATAGATATATAACCAACTTAGAATCATTTTTACCTCCTCCCTGTGTTTCCATGTTAATTTAATCTCTGAGGATGGATTGCTGCCTGCCTTTTTTTTTTTTTTTTTTTTTTTTTTTTTTTTTTTTTTTTTGAGACGGAGTTTCGCTCTTGTTACCCAGGCTGGAATGCAATGGCGCGATCTTGGCTCACCGCAACCTCCGCCTCCTGGGTTCAGGCAATTCTCCTGCCTCAGCCTCCTGAGTAGCTGGGATTACAGGCACAAGCCACCATGCCCAGCTGATTTTTTGTATTTTTAGTAGAGACGGGGTTTCACCATGTTGACCAGGATGGTCTCGATCTCTTGACCTCGTGATCCAGCCGCCTTGGCCTCCCAAAGTGCTGGGATTACAGGCTTGAGCCACCGCGCTCGACCGCTGCCTGCTTTTTAAGTGCTACTAAGACAATGATTCAGGCCAGCATCCTGCTTTGGCCCAGAGAACAACAATCACCTACTAGCTGACCTTCCTGTCTCCACATCTGTCCTCTCTACTTTAGATTCAACATATAGCCAGATTTTTTTGTAAGATACAAATCAGTCTGTGCTTCCTTTCCATGTCTCAAAACCCTTTCCTGCCTCCCTATTTCACTCAAAGTGAAAGCCAAGATCCTAACACTGGCAAGGCACTTAAGGATGCCACCTCACCAACCTTTGCCACCTCCACCTGCAGCCTTCTACCTCATTCATCCTGCCCAACCCTCAGTAGCCATATCTGGATTTTATTTTATTTTATTTTGAGACAGAGTCTTGCTCTGTCACCCAGGCTGAAGAGCAGTGGTGCAATCTCGGCTCACTGCAACCTCTGCCTCCCAGGTTCAAGCATTTTTCATGCCTCAGCCTCCCAAGTAGCTGAGATTACAGGCACCCACCACCACGCCTGGCTAATTTTTGTATTTTTAGTAGAGATGATATTTTGCCATGTTGGCCAGGCTGGTCTTGAACTCCTGACCTCATGTGATTCACTCACCTCGGCCTCACCAAGTGCTGGGATTATAGGCATGAGCCACTGCACCTGGCCTTGACCATCTCTTCATTTTATGAGTATATCTGTCAAATCCAGTATTGGGCATTTCTACTAGCTGTTCCCTGGACCTAGAACACTCTTCTCTTCTCTTTATTGCCCTCAAGGTCTTTCTCAAATATGTATTTTTAGTGAGGGCTAATATGACCACTTATTTTAATAACAAATTCTGCTTCTCACTTTTCCTGCAATCTCAACTCCTGTCACTCCACTGATTTTTTATTTTTTTATTTTTTAAATAGGGTATGTTGCTTGACACTTCTGTGAACCATGCTTTCTGCTTCTTGTCAGAATTCTCCTATTGTAAGGTGAGCTTAATGAGGCTAGGGTTTTCTCTTTATTGTAATTTACACCAAGCATCCAGAATGGCCTGCAGCATTATTTTCTGCGGGTATTTGTTGAGAGAACAGAATAAGCCGGTGTTTCAGTGTTTACCCTAGGAGGGCAATTCAAAAATCAGGTACCACGATCCTTCCAGCTGGTTCAAACCAAGGGGCTTAGTCATCCTTTTGGAATCACAGGTTAGAATCACTGGGGCAAGTGCACATTAGGTCTCTGGGTGTGGAGTCCTGGCAGGGTGTTCTGGAGAAATTTCCTAAGTGAGTTTAGGGCAGCAGAAGGAAGAGCTACTGCCATAGTGAGGCAGCCCGGTAGGAAGCCCCCCGCCCCGGAAAACCTCCCACCTGGCCTACTGCGCACTGGGAATGCGGAATGGGGTGGAGCCACAGAAGTTTGCCCCTTTTGCCCCTGGGAGGAACCTGGCCCCTCCTCTCCCTGTGTGGAATTTGGGACTCAAGCGGCTAGGCGGGAAGCACTGACAGGGATTTTGACCTTGCGGAGAGTCCCTGTTTCCACCTTTTTTCCTTTTCACCCAATGAAACCCTGCTTTACTCACCCTTCAAACCGTCTGCAAGCCTCCACTTTCGTGGCCATGGACAAGAACCCCATCTACAGATGAACTAAGAAAAAGTCCTGTAACAATACGTTCCTTGTCCTAAAACCCACTCCCGCCTCCCATTTCCCATTCCTCAGGTGTTTAGGGAAAAGCTGTCACTCACTGAAACTGGGCAAAGGGTGACCCCTTGACCCCAACTGGCTGAGACCAGTTCCCTGAAGGTGCCCACAGCAACTAGATTTTAGATCTTCAATTAAAACTGATTACAGTTTATTTCTCTTCTACAGCTGGGGTGTTCTGAATATGTTAGTTCCCTGTTTAGTTTGCTCTTTGTAAATTCTGTCATTCCAGTCATCCCTCAACTTGTTCAACACTGATGAAACAAGATGTTTTTCCTTAGGGAAATGTTTGAGATCTGAGTCTATGTGCTAATCGGCACCCAGACACCCCCTTGCTCATTCCTGAGTTCTGTTCCCATCGTTTATTATGAATAAAGTACGACATGTGCAGATAGGTCAGGAGCTTCAGTGATCTGTTTTCAGCAAGACACTCTCCAGGCTTTGTCTTCTTCGATCTGCTGAAGCTTCTCTATTTACCCATGTTTGGATATCTCACCCTGTTGCCCCTGCTGCACAGAGAGTTTGGGGAAGGAACCACTTCCTCAATTCAGATTTGGGGTATTGGGCTTCAAGGACTTGCCAGTCCTTGAAGCATGGGTGTGACTAAAAATAGAGAACAGTGTTGCTGCCAGTCAGGGCAAAGTCACGAGAAGGTCCCCGCGTTGTGATTTCCTGTCAAGGGCCAATGTTTGTAGGGGCTGCCTCAGGCCCATGCTAGTTTCGCTGTGTGAACAGAGCACGGCAGAGTGCCCCATTGCTTGGATTCCTGTTGTAAGTCCGTATTCTTGTGGTAGCATTTTTTTGGTCACACCGAATCAGAAAAGCTATTTAACGGGCTCTGCTGCTGTCCCATGGCAAAGTGTACCCGTCTCAAGACTGAGAGCGTTTAACCTGGTATTCTGAAAGAGTCTT